AAAAGGGCCCATCGGCATTTGTAAACAAACCGTTATAAAGCCCTTTTCTCACAAAGCAAAGGCCACCCACGCAAACCAACAACATTCGTGTAGGGGAAACTTTCCCCTACCCGATGATGCTGTTCGTTTGCCCGAGCGGCCTTCAATTTTTGAGAAAAGGCCTTTAGAACGGTTTGTTTACAAATGCTGATGGGCCCTTTCCAATTGTTACTCCAGAATTAAAAACGATCGATTAAGTTCTTCCAAGAATTCATGAAGGCAAAGGGCGGAAAATAAGAAGCGAAAGTAGAAAAAACTCAAACCATATCCTTTTGAGAAAGTACGATTTGATTTTTGACAAGATTGTTTGATGTTCTAAGATGTATGCTTCATATGATTAATAAACCACAGTAATTCGAATGAAGCAGCGATAGGTATTTTCATTCAATTGTAGTCCTAAGAAATGCAAAAGCAAATCAGATATAGTTTTCATCAAAACCATCAACTATCTAGCTATGCTGCGCTGGTGTTCAATACGAAGATGCGGACTCGGTACTTGCAATCAACCTGAGTAACGAAGTGAACGAACCGTTACGTAATCTATTGTTTACGTAAAAAATACACCTTCGATGCTTTCTTGGCCTCATTTACGATTCTACATGTATATCGATGCGAAAAACTAACCAAGCAATGTTCAATGTTCTGACAACGTTCGAGAACTGGACGTTCTGTGGTGAGCTCCAAATTCTTCAAGGCAACATTCAACCCCAGAAAAAGCTCCCACAAGTGACGGGGGTAGCTTTCAATTACGGTACATTGAAGCGCAGCACAATCTGATTCAAAGGTAAGTTCCTCCGAGTTATACCCCAGCGATCTCTTTCCCCTCAGCCGGCACCCCCTCCGGCCCGTTTGTCACCATCCCTGTTTCCACTGCTGCCGCCGCCGCCGCCGCTACCGCCAGCTGCTGCTTCTTCTGGAACACCTCATCGTTCAGTTTTCTGCCTTTTCATCGCTTTCGTTCACCCTCTCGCCCCGCTCCATCCTAGCTCCTGCCTGTGACCCTCCCCTACCCGTCAACGTCGTCGTCGTCATCGACAACGTCTGTGATACCCATCCATTGTGGATCGCCTGTTGTTGGCCCGATGGGTTGGTTGGATGGCTTGTGGTAGTGGTAGTAGTGGTGCTTCGAAACCTAACCTCAAAAGCAACAGCAGCACACAGTTCGTTCGGCTGTGTGGAGGAAAATTTTCACCAACTAGCGCTCAGCCCTCCGGAATTGGCTGCTCTTTGTGCGCTGATTCGTGCAGAGCGGGGCGCAATTGAAATCTTTGCGGGGATTTTCCAGACATTTTCGCACTGTCAGAAAAGATGTCCTGGAAGTGAAATTCGCGGTTTTCGATGCTGCGAAAGCCGATAGATGTAAACATTGCTTATTTACTACGGGAGGAAACCCCCGTGCTATGGGGTAGTTTTCTTGCTGGGGAAGATCATTGACGAAAAAAAAAACTCGAAAGGATGACTGGACTTTTCCTCGGTCACTTTTAGGGGACAGATTTGACCCGCTTTTCCGAAGATTCCCACGCAGCTGAGGTTAACGAACGGCGCTTCAAACAGCATGCACCAGCTAATCGTACGGGAAATATGTGATATTTGTATATAATCAGCTGTGAGCAGCATTTAAAAGTAAAACGCGAGAGTCAACAGCAACAGCAGCAGCAGCAGCCGCGGTTGAGACGAGCTTTGGTAGGAATGAAACACACGACTACCAACAGCTCGCCCAAGCAAGCCACAAACTTGTCCAAACGCACACCAGTTTTCGTTTGTTTTCGGTGCGATTCTGCCGGATATGCCGGGAATCCGGTGGTTCTGGACCGTTTTGGGATCTGGATGCAGATTAATTGCCCCCGGCCGCCATATTGAATTTATTAGGCGGAGACTCGTGGGGCCCCGGTGCAGAGCGCCGTTTTTAAAAACTTCACAACATACCGCCACCCCACCACCACACCCGCAGCCTACCCTACCCAACCCAGCCTCTGTGTGCCTGACGGATCCATCGTATTCCGCCTGCCTGTGTACAACAGCAGCAGCAGCAGTGCAGCAGTGCCCTTGTCCACCATGCCGCGCGCGTCGCCCGTTCGTTCATTCATTCGCACATGCTGGCTCGACAGTGTTGCCAAGGCCTAGGCCACAGGCTTTTACTACTTGGGCAAACAATTTAAAGTTATTTCTAAAGGTAGGCATAAGACATTATACGTTCGCGAACGCAAGGATATAGAGATCTTTGTAATCAACAGGTCCGCATCTTTGCATAAATGATGTTTAAATTAAGAAATCAACAGTTCATCAGATGATTATACTTCATATTCAAGGAGTATTGACTTGTTAAGTTAATTTTACATCTAAAAAAATGAAAACAGAAATGGGACGATCCTTTTAGTACGTTACACTCTAAGGGGGAAGGAAGATAAAGAATTCTGCGACAAGCATTGAAGAAGATAAAGGGAAAACATGAGGAAAGGGGAGAGTTGCCTTTTCATCCTAAATTTTGCGTGACGTTTTTAATGATGATTTACGTTTGTAGAATAAAAAATCATCGGTACACTCAACTTTCGCTAAGTCGAATATGTTCAATTGAAACGTATTTTAACGAAAAATTAGCTAACTGAAACAAGGTTCAGTTAAATAACGGCTTTAACGTTTTAATTTGATAATAATTGTTTGTTTTGAGAATGGTGCTCAGGTACATTGAAGTTAAGGCGACATCTCACAACCGATTTTATTCTGCCTTTCGTTAAAAAAAAAATCAAATGCAGAGATCTGCGAAATCGGTTGAAATTTAAGCTCAACATTGAAGTTGATTTCAATTCCTTCAAACCCAGCAGTGATGGAAAAGTTCATCAAAGTTCCCTATGACTCGCGAACTTTTCCCTTGGTGAACTTCGTGAAATATCGCGAACTTTTCCAACACTTAAACCCAGAGAACTGGCACTGGACTGACTGATCCGTATTTGTTATTAGTTGATCCATAATTGAGGGGTAACTGTTTAGTCGGTAGTTTCCCGGTGCCGGTGGTACAGTGGTAAGCGTGACTGCTTCCTCACCCCAATGGGTCTGGGTTCAATCCCAGCCGAGGTCGGTGGGATTTTTCTGAGGCATAAAAATCTCTGGTCCCGTCTTCCTTCGGAAGGGAAGTAAAGCCGTTGGTCCCGACCCATGTGTGTTGAATGGGTGCGATATACTGCGCAGGAATGGAAGCTGCCTTCCTGCACATTCGATTGCCGTCAATGGACGGCAATAGATGTCCATCGGTGATTGGCACTAGATTGCGGAACAGAGACCGACGTGAAATAAAGAAAGTCGGTAGATTCGAAATAGTCATCTTTTGGGTTGTTCATAAGCTACGAAGACACCATACATCGTTCTTTAACTGATGGATCGCTGTTTGAAGCATCGTTCGTTACTTTTTAATATGAAAAGCTAACGTTAAGTCCAATCGAATGTTCAGTAAATCCATTATTAAATGGATAGATTAATGCTATTATTCGACCAATATTTTTGAAGTTTCATCGTGAGAATACTAGCTATTTTAAGATGAAATTTACTAAAGATTTAATCGGATTTAACGACAGTATTCTATATTAAAAAGTAATTAACAATACTCCAAAGAGCGATACATCCCTGACTGGAAGATTAGTGTATTCTTCACATGTCATACATATATTTGGAATACAGAGCCTTTCTGTTTTTGGCTCACGACCTCATTAGTAATTTATTTCCTCTTGCTTTAAATTTTCTTATGAAATATCAAGCATCTCGAAACCTTAAATAACGATCGAACTAGTAATATCACAAATTGAATACGGATGACGAATTCTCTGGATAAATGGCCATAACTGGAAATGCACTGTATTTCATAAACTCTCCATCCAGTTAAGAATCCAATTGATTTTTATACACAATTGCTTGAATAGTTTTGCAGCTTATAGAAAATGCATACAAATCGCACTTTTTCATAATTCTAGAACAAAAACCTGTTCTAGCTAGAAGCAGCTGAACTTTTTGTTTCATTTATATGCTGAATCCGGTTTATGCTTATTTCAAGAAACATGGATTCGTAATATTTTTTAATGCAATAAGTTTAAACAGGTTGAAGATTTTGCGAAAATACCAATCTGATCACGGTAGTAAGCAAAAAATTAATCAACGTTCCAAATAATACTTCAAAAAGAAATAGTTCGTTGATACATTCAGATACTTTGCGATACTCTTCATCATAAGAATTTAAATAAAGTTTAATAGCATTTCAAACTTCACATATTTTATAAAAAGATCCAGAATAAGGCACATGAAAGAAATAAGATGGTGTACTTACATAATGAATCCTTACAATATAAGATTAATCCTGAATAATCGATATGTTAATTAAAATCACTGGAAAAATTGCAATGCATTATTAAACCATCAAAACAAAAACATCCTCTGAGATCAATGTTTGGCAAATCACTGTTGATATTTCGATTAAAACAGTCCATTCTTTGGAAGCACCACAATATTCAATTGAATGTCACACACTACGGCAGATTCACCTTTAGTAACAATCTTCACCAAGCGGTATTTTCCAAAGCCGCGATAACGGACCATCACAATCTCTCCACTTTATATTTTTATGTAGTTTTCCTCCGATATCCTGTGGATCTGACAACGCTGACCTAGTGCCAAACATCACTCGCTCCGGTCCAAAGGACACGCACACACTCTCTCACTGCCATTGCTCCGTTCCGTCGCGAGCAAAGCAGCCAGAGAACTGACATACGATATCACTCACACTGGCACACTTTCTGCCGCCAACATCGTCGACCACAGCGAGAAGAAGCAGGAGAGGCGAACGATGATCATTGTTGTACATGCTTCACTTTTCACAATCGCCAGGAGAAAAAAAATGTTGACCTGCCAAATTGATTCACAAAAATCACCCTTCGATCACGGTCGAAACCAGTAAACTCCATCCAAAAACATCATACCTTGCGACAATCTTCACTTTGGTGCACTTTTCATTGCATTCACGGCGGCACTTGATCGGAAAAAGTCGCGTTTTTTATTCACCACCCGCGAGAGAAGAGGTTCACGAAACTGCACAGAACACCAACTCACAGACGACCCCTTTCCACACACTCCGTCTGCTGGTAGTGTAAGCGCAAAAACATAAAATGGCGTCAACTTCTCACTCACTCACTCGCCCTACGATTGGCTTGCTAGCAGCAGAGCTAGAGAGATATAGCAGGCCCGTTTTTACACAATATCCCGCGATATATAGATGCTTCTGTACGCGCGTTCGTACTCGCACTACTGAACTGAACGGAGACTAGTAACTAGCACTGAAAGAGACGGCTGAACGGCACGAGTGTTTGTCTGTGACTGACAGTCGAACCCGACGGGTGACGTTTTGCTGCAGCAGCGCTGCCGTCGTTCTTGTGGGTCGACGACGGCGGCAACCGCAACAGGAAGTCGTTGTTTGCTGTTCGAGGCGCGTGAAAGGAAGGCTGCGCGCGCCATCCAGTGGGGCTTTTAGATACTTTTTAGCTATAGCGCTTGGTGCAAAGTGCAATAAAATGATCAATCAACGGAAAGAGGATGGTCGAAAGTTGGCGCCAAAACGGAAGTGGGTGGGAGGATCACTTCCGATCCAGTAACCGCCATCGATCGCATGTATCGCTGTAAAGGTTTGAATTCTAGGAACTTGTGTTTTGTGAGAAACGGAAGGCTTAACATTATCCTTTTGATAGAGTCGCATTATGTTCTGCGACACTGGGAATGCCTCACCCAACTGATCATATGTTGTATGTTATTGAGTACCCACTGGCGTACCGGTTGGTCAACCTTTGTACTTACATAACAGGTTACGTCGCAGCATCGAATTATTTACGTTCTCTATCTTGTGGACAGGACACAATCATAGTCTAGAAACGGACTTAATTATTTAATCAATATGTATGATGCAAAATCCAGATCCATACTATCATTAACGTCTATATTAGAAAACCTGAATCACTGAATCAAGTAACATTAAGCTGCCAAGGGCGTAGCCAGGTTTCGAGCTAGGGAGGGGCGAAAAAAAAATTACCATGGAAAATTTGGCCGAATGCCATTTCACCGAACGCCATTTCCTCGAAAACCTTTGTGTTGCCGAGTTTAGGGGGGGGGGGCAGTCGCCCCCCCTGCCCCTATCTGGCTACGCCTATGTAAGCTGCTGCTCCTTACTCAACAGACTGGCCATATTTATTGTATAAATGGCATATTTAAATTCTACCTTCAATCCTGCACTTTATACCAACGACGAAATGAGCCCTACAGGAAGGTGTAGGTGCCTATCCAGTTGCGCTGTACTAAATTCAACCCTATCTCCCAGTTCACATCAATGACATCAGTTATTAGAAACTAAATATGATCTGTTATTGGTTCTTGTAATCATTTTTGAATCACCTTTCTCTATCGTAAATCGATTTGTTCATGTCAATCTGTCCATACAAACAACGAAAGTGTTAAGAACCACATCAGTGGTAAATAATGGCTTCGTTAATAGATCTACCTGTTGAATGGTAGTTGCAAGTGATGCTGAACGGATATTTAATTTCAAATTCAAAATGTTGCTGTTGGTTGTTACCTATACAGGGTATCCAGCGATGAAGCCACAGACGAACCGTCATGCCACTGGAGCATTTCTTTTGGCCGCAATTCGATTTGTCAAACGAGCGATCCGATTTGTCAGAGGGGAGATCAGATCTGTCAAACCAGACGTAAGCCATGTGATATTTATGAGTTTATTTGTTAGATTTTCCGAACTCACTGACCCTTAAACGTCATTTTTTAGGTACAATTATATTTATTAGGCTGTTCAGCTCTACAGGCGTTTATGAGATCAGCTAGGCGCCTAATTATTAGAAATATAACCGAAATGAGGTGTGAAACAGCGAGATTATGTTTTCAAATGTTCTAAACAAATGTCTTTTGCATAACAGTAATGCCACATGCTTCGTTGGTGGAAAATAACGAAAATCCTGATAAAGGGTGTACCGTGCCAGCACCATATTTGGCGCGTTCCTAATGTCAACGCATTCGTCTATTTTTGGTCGCATCTCGATTATGACAAGACATTTTTAAAACCTTTGTTACACCATCATCCCTAGAGCACTCGAACTAAAATTTGCAGAAGTAACAAGTCAAAAATAATGATTTAAAATAGTCGAACATTATTGAGTGCGTCGATTTAGGAACCGCTTCGAATATGGTGCCTCCACGGTATCCGTGGAAAATGGCACACACATAAACAGCTGTAACTTTGTAACTAATATTAAAAACGACTTGAAATTTTCAGTGAAGAAATCGTTCATCTCAACCGTACAACAAATATAAGTCATGACTCTCATGACTTATGATGTGTGGGGTGCACTAAACAGATGATATGGAAACAGATGGTTACTGTTTACCAACCGATTAAGCTGATTTTCTGTATATGTGATTAGTGTCAACAATAAACTAGTAACCTACAGAAAATTAACTACATTTGTTGACGGAGAACCAAGGATGGTACCATAGAGGTAACTCTAAGACTAGTAGGTCCCAAAGAAACGTGCTCAACCTTTAGGCTCAGCTCTGGTCCGATCTTCGGTCCCAAGCTAATCGATGCGTCCCTCGAATCATAGGAAAATCCACGAACCCCGAGACGAACCCCTCATTTTATCTGTCAAACTTTCATAGCGAATCAAAACAAACATAGTGTAGTACCAACAATCAATACGAAACTAACGATTTTAAATTGGCTCACTACTTGACTAGTCTATCGGTCTCAAGCAAACGATTAACGTACCCCATTCTAGTCGAAATTCTAGTACTACGCAATGTTTGTTTTGATTCGCTATGAAAGTTTGACAGATAAAATGAGGGGTAATTGGTTTTTCCTATGTTTCGAGGGGTGAATCGATTAGCTTGGGACCGAAGAGAGTACCAGAGCTGAGCCAAAAAGTTGAGTACGTTATTTCGGGACCTTCTAGTCTTAGAGTTACCTCTATGGTAGTACCATAGAGGTAACTCTAAGACCACTGGGTCCCGAAGAAAATCATTATTATTTTTGGCTCACTCAGTACCAGAACAACGGTCCCAAGCAGTCCCAAGCTATTTCACTCACCCCTGCATGTTCTGCATGAATCCACACACCCCTGATGTTATCTGTCAAACTTTCATAGCGAATCAAAACAAACATAGTGTAGTAATAGAATTTCAACTAGAATAGGGTACGTTAATCGTTTGCTTGGGACCAATAGGCTACTAAAGTGGTGAGCCAATTTAAAATCGTTAGTTTCGTATTGATTGTTGGTAGTATCATAGAGGTAACTCTAAGACCAGAAGGTCCCGAAGAAACGAGCTCAACTTTTTGGCTCAGCTCTGGTACTACCTTCGGTCCCAAGCTAATCGATTCACCCCTCGAAACATAGGAAAATCCACGAACCCCTCATGTTATCTGTCAAACTTTCATAGCGAATCAAAACAAGCATAGTGTAGTACTGAAATTTATACCAGAATGGGGTACGTTAATCGATTTGCTTGGAACCAATAGGCTGGTCAAGTAGTAACCCAATTTAAAATCGTTAGTTTCGAATTGATTGTTGGTAGTATTCTCCCGATAAAATATCACAATTTTCAAACCGTTGAGTCACACTCCGAGTTTTCACTGAAGGTGCATCCGGGAGCGCACCCTGATACATCTTCAGTGAAACCACGGAGTGTAGTGAAAATTATGATGTTTGATTGGGGAATACTAGCTTTCATACATCTATTTTTGAATATATTAACAAAAGAGTCAATTGGACTTGACGTTAGTTATCAATATTACAAAGAATGAATAATGCTCCAAAGAGCGATGCCATCCGTGTTTACAAGGATTTTTTTTTTGCGTTTCAAAGTACTGCGTCCATGTTTCAAAACATCCCGAATAGAAATTGTAATGTAGGAAACATCAGCAGACATCTTCAATACATTAAATTTTAACGTGTATTGCTGTAATCTTAATGTATTCAGACGTCAGTGTGACGTCCAAATACATAAAAATACATTAGCCTCAAACGTTACATCAGAATCAAACGTCTTGACGATGTAAAATTTGACATCAGAATACATCCAATGACAACAGAACCTAACGTTACATTAGAATCAAACATCATCACGATGTAATTTGTTGCACGCATAAAACATCAGAATACATCCAATGACAACAGAACCTAACGTTACATTAGAATCAAACTTCATCACGATGTAATTTGTTGCACGCATAAAACATCAGAATACATCCAATGACAACAGAACCTAACGTTACATTAGAATCAAACATCATCACGATGTAATTTGTTGCACGCATAAAACATCAGAATACATCCAATGACAACAGAACCTAACGTTACATTAGAATCAAACTTCATCACGATGTAATTTGTTGCACGCATAAAACATCAGAATACATCCAATGACAACCGAAGCTAACGTTACATTAGAATCAAACATCATCACGATGTAATTTGTTGCACGCATAAAACATCAGAATACATCCAATGACAACAGAACCAAACGTTACATTAGAATCAAAGTTCATAACGATGTAAATTGTTGTCCCTCGGTCTCTCGCCGCATGCAAAGTTTGTTTTTCCTGAGTCAGCACTACACGGCGAATGAGAACGACCCAAATTTGAGGTTAGTTCACTCATAAATCGCAAAAAGTGCAGGAACTCAGTTTTGAATTAATTTCCCTCATGTTCCGAATATGAGAAAAGCAAAGATTGGATTCTCTGGATTCTCGTAAATTTTCCTTATTTTAGGGCAGATTTTTGAGGTTTTCCACAGGAAATCATGCGGCAAATTTACTCATCCTGCACTTTTTTCGATATTGAGTACACTGTACTCAAATTTGCGTTGATCTCATTGGCCGTGTACAGTTTTTTTTTTCGCAGTGGGAAAGAAGTTTTGGCATGCCCTGTGGGCAATGTTTATTTGTATGTAAAACAATGCCCTGGTGACGTTACAGTGCAAGAGTTAATTAGTGTTTTAATTGATTATTATCGTTTCAATTGAAAACCGATTTTACTCTTGTTCTGTACGTTAAACATAACGTCGGCTATAGTGTGCTGTACACGCTAACTTGAAAGTACCTATTAATGGTTGAAAAAGACCCATTTTGAAGAAAAGTGGCTTAACTCATTAAATGAGTAAATTTTTTACCCATTAATGAGTATCTGTTACCCATTAATGAGTAATTGTTAATCATTAATGGGTAACAGATACTCATTAATGGGTAAAATTGTTTAATCATCAATGAGTTAAACCACTTTTCTTCAAAATGGGTCTTTTTTTACTCATTAATGAGTACTTTCAAGTTAGCGTGTATACCGCATCCGTGTATACGAATACACTTACTACCCCTGTTGGGTGGTTTTGCTCCTCCGTTTTTGACAACATTAGAAGGAGAAAAGGAGACAAACTAGTCAAAAGTAGGTAAAAGTGAACTGGCCGTTGGGTACTTTTTTCTTACCGTGTACGAATACAGCACCCCACACGAATAAAGCCCTACAGTAAAAGTATGGACGACTGACACCACAAAACTGAAAAAAGCTGTTCCAATCGAGCAAAGCGGTGCATTTTGACGGTTCGATTGGAACAACTTTTGACAGACGTCCATACTTTTACTGTAGGGCTTTACACACGAATTGCCGGCGACAAAGTGACGTCATTTGACATTGGGCGACTTAAAGACTGACGTTTTTAAATTGGTGTGTTTTTTTTTGTCGTGCGCTCAGCCATCTTGTCTGGTTTGTTTATAAACAAACTAGACAAGATGGCTGAGTGCACGGAGCGCACCGCAAATTCCTTCACCCGAGCCGCGAAGGAAAGTAGCAACTTTAACAGTAAGTATTCAAATATTTGTTATATTTAGTGTTATTATTTGTAATTTCTCATCCGGATTTCTCAAGCGGGTCAATTTTGATGTAATTATTTTCAAAAATTGATCCGGTTGAGGTAAGCATCCTTGCTGATGCAACGCATCAACAAGGATGTTTAACTCATCAGGATTCCTCCAGCGGATCAATTTTGAAAAATAATGACAAATTCTAACAAACATCCAAAATTTTGATTAATTTGTATTTTTTTTTTCAGCCGGCTGCTTCCAATAATTCCGGATTGGGACGTGTACGGAAATTGAATAGAGGTAGGTGTTAAACAGTTTTTATTAAGTGTAATTATTTTTAAAAATTGATCCGCTGGAGGAATCTGACTGAGTTAAGCATCCTTACTGATACAACGCATCAAAAAGGATGTTTAACTCATCCGGATTCCTCCAGCGGATCAATTTTGATGTAACTTTTTTCCATAAATTTATCCGCTGGAGGAATCCGACGGATTTCATTGACTGATGCAAAGCATCAACAAGGATGATTAACTCATCCGGATTCCTCCAACGGATCAATTTTGATGTTACTATTTTCCAAAATTGATCCGCTGGAGGAATCCGGCTGAGTTAAGCATCCTTGCTGATGCAACGCATCAACAAGGATGTTTAACTCATCCGGATTCCTCCAGCGGATCAATTTTGAAAAATAATTACAAATTCTAACAAACAGATCCAAAATTTTGATTATTTTGTAATTGTTTTTTTTTTCAGCCGCCTGCTTCCAATAATTCCGGAGGTGTTCGGGAATAGAGGTAAGTATTGAACAATTTGTTATTAAGTGTAATTTTTTTTTTTTTTAATTGATCCGATGGAGGAATCTGGCTGAGTTAAGCATCCTTATTGTAAGGATGTTTAACTCATCCGGATTCCTCCAGCGGATCAATTTTGATGTATTTTTTTTTTTCCAAAAATTGATCCGCTGGAGGAATCCGGCGGATTTAATTGACTGATGCAAAGCATCAACAAGGATGATTAACTCATCCGGATTCCTCCAACGGATCAATTTTGATGTAACTATTTTCCAAAATTGATCCGCAGGAGGAATCCGGCTGAGTTAAGCATCCTTACTGATGTAACGCATTCCGATACCGGATCCCGATGTTTATGTTTAAGTTAAAGTTTTATTATAGTTAAGTAAAATTTAAAGTTAAGTTAAATTAAGTATGTAACAACTAAATTTAAGTTAAAATTATGTTAAAGTAAAAGTTATGTTGATGGTAAGATAAACTTATGTTAAAGTAAAAGTTAAAATTTATTTAAAGTTACGTTAAAGGTAAGTTAGAGTTAAGTTAAGGTTACGTTTAAGTTAAGTTAAAGTTATGTTTAAGTTAAGATAAAGTAAAGTTAAAGTTATGTGTAAGATAAAGTTAAGTTCAAGTTATGTTAAAGTTAAAGTTAAGTTATAATTAAGTTTAACTTATGTTAAGGTAGAGTTAAAGTTAATTTAAAGTTTTGTGAAATTTATGTTAAAGTAAGTTTAAAGTTAAGTTAAAGTTATGTAAGAGAAAAAGTTATGTTATAGTTATTTTAAAGGAAAGATAAAGTTTTGTTAAACTTAAGTTAAAGTTATCCCTAATAAACGGATACCATACACTAACGATGTCATACACAGCAAAAAAAGTTGTTGAATATTACATCGAAACTGCTGCAACCAAGTCAATCCATCGGTTGTGTAATATCACATTGTATGATGTACATCGATTTTGCGAACAAAATTACATCCATTGATGTAATATTGTATCTGCTTTTTGTTATTACATCATTATTTCATACATCAGCTTGAATTACGTTGGTTGATATTACATTTTTTTTTGCTGTGTAGATGGTACGACCATACCGCATAAAGTTGGGATGATATCCCGAATTGGTGGTTAGGCGCTTCTTATGGTTATTGTTTATGCGGGATGTTAAAGTTAATTTAAAGGTAATTTAAAGGTAAGTGAAAGTTTTGTTAGAGGTAAGTTAAAGTTATGTTAAAGGTAAGCTAAAGCTAAGTTAAAGTTATGTTAAACTTAAGTTAAATTTGTGTTATACGTAAGTTAATGCTATCTTAAAGTTAAAGTTATGCTAAAAATAAATTAAATTTATGTTAAATTTGGTAAAATTTAGGTTTTGCTAAAATTATGTTCAAGTAAAGTTAACGTTAAGTTTAAGTTAATTTAAAGTTAAAGTAAAGTTTAAGTTATTTTTAAGTTAAAGTTAAGTCTAGATTATTTTAGAGTTAAAGTTAAGTTTAAGTTATTTTAAAGTTTAAGTTAAGTTAAAGTTATGCTGAAGGTAAGTTAAAGTTAAGTTGAAGTTATGTTAAAGGTATGTTAAAGTAATTTTAAAGTTAAAGTTATGTTAAAATTAAGTTAAAGTTGTGTTATAGGTAAGTTAAAGCTATCTTAAAATTAAAGTTATGCTAAAAAGAAATTAAATTTATGTTAGATTTGGTAAAATTTAGGTTAAAGTTTTGTTAAAGTTAGGTTCAAGTAAAGTTTAGGTTAAGTTAAAGTTATTTTAAAGTTAAGGTTAAGTTTTAGTTATTTTAAATTTAAAGTTAAGTTCAAGTTATTTTATAGTAAAGTTAAGTTAAATTAATGTTAAAGATAAGTTAAAGTTACGTTAAAGTTGTGTCAAAGTTAAGTTAAAGTAATTTTAAAGTTAAAGTTATGTTAGAGCTTAGTTAATGTTATGGTAATCTTTATTTAAAGTTATGTTATAGGTAAGGTAAAGTTAAGCAAAAAATAAATTAAATTTATGTTATATTTGATTAAATTTAAGTTAAAGTTTTGCTAATATTATGTTAAAGTTAAGTTAAAGTTAAGTTTAAGTTATTGTTAAGTTAAAGTTATTTTAGCTTAGCTTAGCTTAGCTTAGTCTGACTGCACGTATCGATAGTTGCACTCCGTGATTGATCTAAACCAGTGAAATTGTACAAAGATTGTTAAGTTAAAGTTATTTTAAAGTTAAAGTTAAGTTTAAGTTATTTTAAAGTTAATTTTTTGTTAAAGTTAAGTTTAAGTTATTTTAAAGTTAAAGTTATGTTAAACTAAAGTTAAAGTTCTGTGATAGGTAAGTTAAAGTTAAGTTGAAGTTAAATTAACGTTAAGTTAAAGTTACGTTAAAGTTAAGTTAACGTTATGTTATGTTATGTTAAGTATAAGTTAACTTAAAGTTAAGTTTAAGTTAAAGTTAAAGTTAAAATAATTTTGAAGTTAACGTAATGTTCAAGGTAAAGTTAGGTGAAAGCTAAGTTAAAATTAAGTTAAAGTTATGTCAAAATTAAATTAGAGTTATGTTTATGCTTAAGTTAAGTTAAAGTTCAGTTAATGTTAGGATAAAGATATGTTGAATTTAAGTTAAAATTACGTAAAGGTTATGTTAAAGTTTAATTAAAGTTAAGTTAGAGATATGTTAAGTTTATGTTAGGTTAAGTTCAAGTTATGTTAATGTTAAATTTATTTTAAATTTAAGATTAAATTTAAAGTTAAGTTATAGTTCAGTTAATGTTAGGTTAAAGTTATGTTAAATTTAAGTCAAAATTAATTTAAGGTTTTGTTAAACTTTAGTTCAAGTTAAGTTAAAGTTATGTTAATGATAAGTTAAAGTTATTATAAAGTTTAAGTTAAGTTAAAGATCTGTTTAGTTCATGTTAGGTTATAGTTAAGTTCAAGTTATGTTAATGGTAAACTTATTTTAAATTTAAGATAAAATTTAAAGTTAATTAAAGTTAAGTTAATGTTAGGTTAAAGTTCTGTTAAATTTAAGTTAAAATTAATTTAAGGTTATGTTAAAGTTTAGTTCAAGTTCAGTTAAAGTTATGTTAAAGTTAAGTTAAAGTTATGTTAAATTTAAGTTAAAATTTAGTTAACAACAACGTTTAAGTTAAGTTAAAATTTGGTTAAAGTTATGTTAAAGTTAAAAATAAGTTAAAGTTTGTTAAAGTTAAGTTAAAGTAAAGTTAAAATTACGTTAGAGTGAAGTTAAAATTAAAATGATTTTAAAATTAAAGTAATGTTCAAGGTTAAGCTATGCGAAAGCTAAGTTAAAATTAAGTTAAAGTTATGTCAAAATTATGTGAGAGTTATATTAATGCTAAAGTTAATTTAAAGTTAAGTTAATGTTAGGTTAAAGTTATGTTAAAGTTATGTTAAAGTTAAGTTAAAATTAAATTAATGTTATGTTAAAGTTAAGTAAAAAAAGGTTAAGTTTAGTTAAAGAGAAGTTAAAGTTAAGTTAAAGATGAGTTAAAGTTAAGGTTAAGTTATGATAAAGTTAAATTAAAGTTAAGTTAAGATTAAATTAAAGATAAGTTAAAGTTAAGTTAACGCTAAGTTAAAGTTAAGTTAAAGTTAATGCTAAGTTAAGTTAAGTTAAGTTAACGTTAACGTTATCTTAAAGTTATGTTACAGATAAGTTAAAATTACGTTAGAGTGAAGTTAAAATTAAAATGATTTTAAAATTAAAGTAATGTTCAAGGTTAAGCTATGCGAAAGCTAAGTTAAAATTAAGTTAAAGTTATGTCAAAATTATGTGAGAGTTATATTAATGCTAAAGTTAATTTAAAGTTAAGTTAATGTTAGGTTAAAGTTATGTTAAAGTTATGTTAAAGTTATGTTAAAGTTAAGTTAAAATTAAATTAATGTTATGTTAAAGTTAAGTAAAAAAAAGGTTAAGTTTAGTTAAAGAGAAGTTAAAGTTAAGTTAAAGATGAGTTAAAGTTAAGGTTAAGTTATGATAAAGTTAAATTAAAGTTAAGTTAAGATTAAGTTAAAGATAAGTTAAAGTTAAGTTAACGCTAAGTTAAAGTTAATGCTAAGTTAAGTTAAGTTAACGTTAACGTTATCTTAAAGTTATGTTACAGATAAGTTAAAGTTATGTTATGTTATGCTCAAGTTAACCCGAAAAAAAATAACAACAAAAATACATAAAAAACAATGTAACAATAAGACGAAAATTATTGTTTTAACAATGATTTATATTGTTACGTCTACAATAAATTTACCTTGATTTATGTTGTACAAAACAGTAAATTTCATGGTAAATGGAAAATTTACAATAAAAAAGGGGGGTTGTTAAGTATCTTAACAATGAAATTTTCGTGATTTTCCCATATAATTTTTTTTTCAATAACATAATATATTATTGTTATTTTACTGTTGGTTGGCGAATTTATTGATCAAAAAAATAACAGTGTACTTTAGAGTGTATGTGTTGGCTTGACAGATCTACTTTATCGATTTTAAAAATAAATCGAAAAAATAAAACATTGCCCCGGGAAGGGAAGGGGGTGGCATGTCTGTTATGGGTGGTCCTTTTTTTTACTGGTTATGGATCGAGATTCGATCCGGAACTTGTGAGAAATACAGGCCAACTCCCCTGCGCTCGATATCCCTAGGTCACGTCTCCTTGGGGGTTGAGCGCCGTTGATAAGTTAATGCATTCGACTGGAGAGAATCGCCCATGAAATATGCTTCCACCTCGAGGGGGGCGACACATCTAAATCTCAATTCTAGATGATCAAAAAATCTTATACTAGCGAATCAATCTTCGAAAAATCATCTTTCATTTTTCCCATCTACTTGCATCGTGCTTCATCTTTTTGCAGGAAATCTTCAAAATCGACATAAATCTTCCTTCTATCTACTCAGCGTGCGTGCAGCTAGCCACAGTAAAACACAATCTTTTCTGCATCGTAGATAGAGTCGTCCCCCTCGTTCCACCTGAGAGTTCCTTTCTGACATCTTCAAGTGGTGGAGTTTTTTATTATTATTGTATGATTATTCCCTAATAAAAAATAACCATAAACGAACGATAACCCAAATCATTGAACTATTTCACAAATGGTTTGGATGATACCCAGAACACGTCGTTAAGCAAATTAACCATACAATTTTTATTAGGGTTGACTGCACGGAAAAGGTCTCCATTAAGCTTTAGAGAGGGTCTAGGATAAGATATGAGCGGACGCGGACTGCCTGATTTTGAGCCAAACGAACTGTCAAAGCCAGAGCCATACGAGCAGCGCCTATCTTAGTTACATTGGCAGTGTTGCTGACCCTCTCATAGTCTGCATGCTTCAATCAGATTTATTTTTATTGTTCGTGAAGTAACCCACAATGAAAATACACCAATATTTAATGTAACAACAATTTTTATTGTAATAGAGTTGTTCATTATTGTTCATGATCGAATCATGTTAACAATAAAATAAATGAAAAATACGATAAAAATTATTGTAACAACATTTTATTATGTACATTCATTGTACAGCTAGGTAGCAGTTTTGCCGTTTTCGGAAGAGTACAACATTATAACAATCATTTTTATTGTCGACAATAAATATGAATGTTAGAGCATTGTTTCCACTGAAAATTTCACTGTAATTTTTTTTTCGGGAAGTTAAAGTTGAAGTAATGTTCAAGGTAAAGTTATGTGAAAGCTAAGTTAAAATTAAGTTAAAGTTATGTTAAAATTAATTTAGAGTTATGTTAATGCTTAAGTTAAGTTAAAGTTCAGTTAATGTTAGATTAAAGTTATGTTAAATTTAAGTTAAAATTACGTTAAGGTTATGTTAAAGTTTAGTTAAATTTATGTTAAAGCTAAAGTGAAGTTAAAGATATGGTTAGTTGATGTTAGGTTAAAGTTATGTTAAAATTTAAATTATAATAAATTTCAGTTAAAATTAAGTTAAGGTTATGTTAAAGTTTAGTTAAAGTTAAGTAAAAGTTATGTTAAATTTTCCTAAAAATCTGCAAATTACTTAGACGATCTTCGAACTTCCCTGAAGTTCTGTGTACTCCCTGAAGGTCTGTGAATTTCTCTGAAGATCTTCGAACTACCCTGAAGCATTAAAATATTAAAAATTTCTCTAAAAGTCTACAAAACTTTCCTGAATTTCTGCAATTTTTTTCTGAAGCAATAAAAAGTTATCTGAAGACCTCCTTTAAGTTCTGCAAATTTCTCTGAGGATCAACAATCTTCCCTGAAATTCAGTATTTTTCCCTGACGTTCTGCCAATTTGCCTAAAGCTCTGTGAACTGCCCTGAAGTACTGAAAATAACTCTTAGATGTACGAGGATCTTTAAATTTATGTGATCTTCCCTGAAGTTCTGTGAGTTTATCTAAAGTTCTGCGAACTTCTCTGAAATTCTGTTCTATAAATTTCCCTTAGGAACTAAAAAATTATCTTTAAATTTACGAACATCACTGTAGTTCTGTTAATTTCTCTGAAGATCTTCAAACTTCCCTGAAGATCTGTGAACATCCATAAAGTAGTGATTATTTCTCGAAACGACGACAAACATTACTGTAGTGCTGTAAATTACTCAGAAGATCTACGAACTTCCCTGATTTTCTTTTGATTTCTCTAAAGATTTCAGTTTTTTAAAACTTCTCTGAAGTTTTTTTTTTTAATTTCCCTAAAGTTCTGCTAGTTTCTCTGAAGATCTACGACCTTCGGTGTAGTAAGATCTTCATAACAATTTCCGATTATTCTACGTTCTGAAGAAATTTTCAAACGACTTCAATTCGATTTTTTATCAGATGTTGGTCCTCAGAATAATTCCTGATCAACTTGACCTCTTCGAAAAATATCTCAAGATTTTAATTTCTAATCCTTATCAACCTGACCACTTCGAATATTTACTTAATTACTTTATTTGAATTTCTGATCAGTTGTAGGTCTTCAAAACAATTCCTGCTTATTTTGATCTCTTGTAGTAATATCCGAAAAGTTTCGATTGATTTATTGATCAGTTGTAGGTTCTCAGAATAATACCTGATCAATTTAAACTATTCAAAGAATATCAAAAGGACATCGTTTGAATTTCTGTTCAGTTGTAGGTCTTCAGAATAATTATTAACTTAAATTAAATTAAATCTGGTATTTTTCTGATGTTTATAGAACTACCAACAATCAATACGAAACTAACGATTTTAAATTGGCTCACCACTTTAGTAGCCTATTGGTCCCAAGCAAACGATTAACGTACCCTATTCTAGTTGAAATTCTATTACTACACTATGTTTGTTTTGATTCGCTATGAAAGTTTGACAGATAACATCAGGGGTGTGTGGATTCATGCAGAACATGCAGGGGTGAGTGAAATAGCTTGGGACTGCTTGGGACCGTTGTTCTGGTACTGAGTGAGCCAAAAATAATAATGATTTTCTTCGGGACCCAGTGGTCTTAGAGTTACCTCTATGGAACCATAGAGGTAACTCTAAGACAAGTAGGTCCCGAAGAAACGTGCTCAACTTTTTGGCTCACCTCTGGTACTATCTTCGGTCCCAAGCTTGTCGAATCACCCCTCGAAACATAGGAAAAACCAATAACCCCTCATTTTATCTGTCAAACTTTCATAGCGAATCAAAACAAACATTGCGTAGTACTAGAATTTCGACTAGAATAGGGTACGTTAATCGTTTGCTTGGGACCAATAGGCTACTAAAGTGGTGCGCCAATTTAAAATCGTTAGTTTCATATTGATTGTTGATGGAACTACCCTGAAGTTCTAGTAGTTCTTCTAACTAACCTTAAAATGTACATTTACCCCTATACCGCTATGCCGCTGTCCTGGTGTCATTGGGTTCGGCCCTTTACCTGGCTCGTAGACATTTCAAAGACAACAATGTCTGCATGATGTTTATACATCGGTTCAAACTATGCGTATTGATAAGTTTTCTGAAAAGATTTGGATCTAGGTGCATAGTTTGCTTTGATAGTCTTTCAGTTTCTCTAGCATTCTCTAGTCTTAGCTCATCTAAATATTTATTGCAAAATCCCTGGATTAATCTTCAATTTGGCTTTGTTTTCTTGTTTATTTTCTATCGTTCTATGTTCTGCAACCGAGTGGCAACCACTTACGCTAGGGAGGCAATTGAACACCTAGACCTGGACTCATCAACTCAAGGGCCAGGATCCACGGCTGTGCTTCTTTTCGAAGGAAGGCATGACACCACCAAAGCAACCAAGGAAGTCATCAATCCCCACCAACTGACGAGTTTCGTTTGTGGTTCGACACATGGACGGAGCATTTGTGTTTTGCTAAATTTTGCAAATTATTGGGGAATTTCCCTAAAGTTTCACGCGGCCACCAGTTTTCACTCTTCCACAGGCCTTAAGCACAGACAAACAGACGTAACTCTTCATTGTGTATCTTCGTTCATGCATTTAACGGTTGATTTGAATATTATCAGTTCCGCGAACTACTCGCCGCAGCGCTGGCATCGGATCACTTTGACGTTTCTATATATTCTATAGAACTTTTATGCAATATTGTTTACGAGCTAGCGAGCAAGCTTGTTTTCCGCGAGAAGCCAGAGAGATGTCGCTACTGAGGTTATATGTTTTGAGATACTATGTTTTCAAGAACAAGTTTTTCAAAGAGTTACGTCTGTTTGTCTGTGCCTTAAGGGTAACCCACATTAGATCTGCTTGCGTTGCGTTGTCGTAAATTTTATAGTTAGACAATATATTTAGCTGTCACTTTGCTGCATCGCTCCAGATCTGGATCTAATGTGGGTGGCCCTGTAGATTTGGAAACTTGATTATGTAAACACTAGGCATCTTTGTCTGGTAGTTCGTTCAAAAATGATACAACAATCGTCAAGCTCGCTGTAACGTCACCTAGTGCCTCGTCACCTACAAATTGGCGCCTATGTCAGTGGTCTAATAACTCTTAGCGCGCTAATGGCATAGTTCCCCTGCCGCATAGAGAGTTACCACAATGACATTAGGTTAGCTAAGGTCAGTTAACTGACTGGTGGGAAACGGGAGCTTACGCAATGGCTATTCTGTATGCATTTAAGAGATAGTCTACCAGAATGGATGATTTTTTTTGTACAATTTTATGTTTTCTGATTGTGCAAAACATGAGAATTAACTTTTCCAATGCTTTCAATTGTACAAAGCATTAGTGCTAGAAACATGATCTTGTAAACACTACACAGCAAAAAAAAATGTAATATCGATCAACGTAATTCAAGCTGATGTATGAAATAATGATGTAATAGCAAAAAGCAGATACAATATTACATCAATGGATGTAATTTTGTTCGCAAAATCGATGTACATCGTACAATGTGATATTGCACAACCGATAGATTGACCTGGTTGCAGCAGTTTCGATGTAATATTCAACAACTTTTTTTGCTGTGTACACACCTTAACTGTTAGTTTGATTAAAAAATGCTGCAACAATCGTCAAGCTCGCTGTAATGTCACCAAGTGCCTCGTCACCTACAAATTGGCGCCTATGTCAGTGGTCTAATAACTCTTAGCGCGCTAATGGCATAGTTCCCCTGCCGCATAGAGAGTTGCCGCAATGACATTAGGTTAGCTAAGGTCAGTTAACTGACTGGTGGGAAACGGGAGCTTCAGCATTGACAGTTATGTACGCATTTTTATGATGTTATCTAACAACAATGGTGTGTAGTGTTTACACGATTATGTTACTAATTCTAATGTGTTGTAAATATAATTGAAAGCATTTGAAAAGTAAGATTCTAGTGGTTATACTACTTAAAACATAAGTAAACATCTACATTTTAAAACATTCAAACAACGTTTACTTTAAACGTTTTGTACATCTGAAAACATCAGAGAACAACAAACAGGAAGTACAATTGAAAACATCCGAACAACGTTTAGTTCTAACGTTGTGTACATCCGAAAACATCCAAAAAACGTTTGGTTCTAGCATCGGGAAACATCTACATAAGAAAACATTAGAATACATTTACATATAAAAACATCCGAACAACGTTTAGTTCTAACGTTTTTTACATCCGAAAACATCCAAAAACGTTTGGTTCTAACATCAGGAAACTTCTACATTAGAAAACATCAGAAAACGTTTACATATAAAAACATCCGAACAACGTTTAGTTCTAACGTAATGTACATCAGAAAACATCCTTAAAACGTTTGGTTCTAATGTCAAGAGATTGAAATTTTTGACGTCAGACCGACATTAGAATGGCAAAATTTTGTTCCAAAATTTCTGATGTATACACCATGTTACGTTGCTTAAATACAACTAATTCATAATGTTTTCTAATGTTTGACATCAGGCATACATTTGATTTCGATGCTGATGTAGACATCAAAATCAAACGTTGGGCTAATGTAAATTTCTATTCGGGATCCTCCTAGATATACTAATTGATTTATACCCCGTACAGACTATGGCTTATATCATGTAATATAGACTGTCTTGCAAAACTAGATGTATGAGTGCTCATTGCAAGACAGCCTATATTACATAATATAGGCCATAGTCTGTACGGGGTATTAAGGTATTAAGCTGCAGTTTTTACTGAAGTGCAAGAGCATTTTTATGCATTTTAGTAACGGCTTTTTACGTCAGTAGCGCACGTCAAATTCAAAAAGCGCTAAACTCAAATAACGCTTTGACAGCATAAACGAGAAACGGAAATGCCGCTCATCGAATGCGCGCCACCGCAAATTGTAGACGAACCCCGCTAGAACGGATATTTGCCTACGAAAGTAATGGTCGCTCTAAAGAGGGTGCTACTGTTTAGCAACAGAGCAAGCGACGATTATGTACTCCCATTTGAAGCTGTTATATACTCGGCGCGGATTTGGTCTCTCTCTGCCTCCCTTTCCGAGGTACATGTACACATGTATTATGTATTATGTAATTGTTTAATACGGCGGGGGTTGCTGACACTGACTCGTAGAACGCTTAGGTGGAAAGCAAGCATAGATAATCCATCATAACGAAGGAAATGAGCTTTTCATTATGTTGCAAGATATGTTAAGCTTTTTTTTATGATTTATGAGGTCAATGATGAGGTCTATTCTGGACGTTTTGAACATGGTCAGTTTGAAGTACTTTGCAGACTCCAAGCATTTGTTATCACCACACACGAAACAAATTGAATACCTATATACAATAATGTCAGCAATGGTATGATCATTGTTTCCAAACGTTTTCCGCAGGAACGGTTGAGCTTGAATGCTCGCTTGAATGAACACTTTGAAAATAAAGATGCTTCAACAATAAATGAAAAATCAGGATCACGCATATTGTTTATTTTCATGATGCCATGGGCATTCTTAAGCTTTTTTTTTGCTAATGATTTGTTCAGACTACAGAATTATAACATGCTTGACTTTTACCAGTAAGCACCAAACTGGGAAATGCGAGATTGTATTACAGACTTGCATGAAAAGTATGTAGAATTCGCAATGTTTCGCGACGTGAACGGATGCTGTAATGTTGTTACCGGAAGGATTTTCAAATAAATTTGTGATTTTTATGTTACCTTATTTTTCGAACAAATTTTGTTTTCCCAAATGCATTGCGAAGGTTTTAAACAAAAATATGCAATTCTGGAAAAACTTGCTTATACCAACACTAAGCTTCTAGTCTTAGTGTTAACTATATGAATGGGGTACGTTAATCGATGTACTTGGGACCGACAGGCTAGTCCAATGTGAGCCAATATAAAATCGTTAATTTCCACCGGTGTAAAGGGGACCCTAAACGATTGCTTTTATTGACAATATCAATAGTGATGGAGAAATACGACATGCACTAAACTAAGGGCACGGGATATACTACAATCGCAGTGGATTTAAGTCCCGAACTGGGTCACAGTTCTCCTGTGGTTTGGTCATGTTCTTGTAGGTGGCGAAGCCGATGAGTCTTAGGCCGTTGTCGTACGTAAGCTGGTGTACGCTGAACTTTCCGATGATCAATAGCAATATTACGCAATTTATTTGAATTTGAATTTTATAAATTACCGACTTTTTCTCGGTTTTCGTTAGTCATCACCCTGAGTTAGGGATATTATTATTATTTTTTCTTTGGAGATAGCCCACGACCATGGCTGGTCAGCCAGTGCCGGTGACTGCTTGCTCACCCCAATGTGTTTGGATTCAATCCCAGTCGAGGGCGGTGGGATTTTTCTGAGGCATATAAATCTCTGGTCTCTTGTCTTCTTTCGGAAGGAAAGTAAAGCCGTTGGTCTCGCTCCATGTGTGTTGAATAGGTGCGATATCCAATGCAGGTGTGGAAGCTGCCTTTCTGCACATTCGATTGCCGTCAATGGATGGCAATCGATGTCCGTCGGTGACTGCGACTGGCACTAGATTGCGCAACAGAGACCGACGTTAAATAAATAAATTAAGAAGAAGAAGATCATGGCTGGTTCATCTCGCCTAAAACATTATTTTGCAATAGCTCCATGGTTAACACCTTCAAATGTACTACATATATTCTCGTTTATTGCTGTCTTTCAGATGTAGACCTGTTTTATTTCTCAATAATAGATCTCATTTGGCAGGGCCAGCATGACCCGACACACATGTCTTTTGACAAATTTTCTTTCTGTAAAAAAAACTGGTGGCAAATCCTTGAAACGACCTTAAAATTTATTTGACACCACACACATCTCCATTAATACCGTATATAGCTACCTACATTTCAACCGTCCTCCTGTTCTTCGTCATCATCCGCGAAGGATAGTTTACTTTTGGCTTCCTTTTCCTTCTTCTTTTTAGTCTTCCGGTTCAGAACCTGGACGTCGTCCAGGCTGCTGCCTCCGGCTTTAGACTTTTTCGATTTGAACACAATCTTCTGGGTAAGATCGGCCGGTTTTTCCTCCTCCTCTGAAATATGATGGTGGTGATGCCGGAATTTTCAAATTTTGCAGAATAACTATGTAGGGTGAGTGTTCATACCTTTTTCGACTACCGCTGCCTCTTCGGCGGTAAGATCTCCTTCCTTCAGGACCACCACCTGGGGCAACTCGTCTTCGCGCTCTTCACGATCGTCGTCATCTGAATCTTCGAAGTTCTCTATTTTCTGACGCTGTTAAAAGGAAGTTTAATGACAGGTTGTTAGTTATTCAGGATTCTCCTTTACCTTTGCATCGACTGTCGGGCCTTCCTTGTAGCCAATTTGCGCTTTCATCCGTTTCAGGAAGTCCGGTTCGTCCGGTTTGATGAACGCGACGTTTCGCTTAGGCCCTTTGGACATTGCTGCTGGTGTTTGTCAGTATGTTAAAGCTTATATATAACGGTTAAATTCTAGTATATAGGTAGTACGAATCTCGCTTGCGACCGATCAGCTGAGAACGACTGTACTGACGAACGACGCGCTCGTGGGCTGTTGTTTGTAAATATAAGCTCCCACGAACACATTCGATTCATTGTTATTAAGAGCGCTATCACCAACACACATGCAGCTATGCTGCGGCCAGTCGCCTCAACCGTGCGTTCACATTAAAAATTAGCTGTCAAATACTCATCTAGATCAATCCAGCCGGGTGCGTCGCCATATTGGACGAGTGCTTTGTGCAGTGCGAAGTTCGCGTTTTTTTGTCGCATTTTGATTGAAGTTTTCCGGTGAAAATCTTTTGCCAATCGAAGCAAATTTACGTGTTATCGAAAGCGTAGCAGGTGAAGTGCAGTTTGTGCTATTTTTTACGCATTGAAGCGTGCTATTGGAGCAGAAATCGCAGTTTGAAAAATCCCGTTTATCGATTTTCACCGGAGCACCGGATTGAATCATGGCGAGCAAAGATATCAAATCGTTCTTCTACGAATGGTGCCAGAAAAGTAGCTTGTCTCCTACGTTTGAAGTGCGTCCGACTGGTAAGATTATTAAAACCCAGTTTTAGTGTTCCTACATATCGGAAAATATATAATACATTTCCCAAGGTCCCAAGAATCGACAACGGTTCCTCTGCGAGGCTCGAGTCCCTACGATATCATATGTAGGTGCTGGCAACTCCACCAACAAAAAAGACGCCGAGCGTAACGCCGCCCGGGACTTTGTCAACTATTTGGTCCGTGTCGGTAAGGTTGCTGCATCGGATATTCCATCGGAAGTCGAAGGTGGAGCCCCAGGAGGCAATGCTGAAGGAGGAGCACCTCCTTCCTCTGGAGGACCACCTTCCTCCGGAGGACCACCCTCGTTGATGAACATCAACCCGGCAAATGTGTTCAAGGGTGGACTTGGTCCTTCGGATCTGGGTCAAGCATACCGGCCGTTCGTGCGGGATAATACGTACACCCCATCGAAGGAAGAACTGGCCGAACAGGTGGCCAGCATGGAGTCGGCTGAATCGCTGGATGTCAATGCCGGAATACACGGCAATTGGACCATCGAAAATGCCAAGGCCAAGCTCAACCAGTGGTTGCAAATGAACAAGATGAATCCAGATTACAAGTACACTGCCGTTGGTCCGGATCATAGCAGGTAAATCCACAAAAACAAAAAAAAACCCTAAAATCTTCAGTTTCATTTCTCCTCATTTCGTTGTCTTTGAAATTTGGAGAAATGTGTTATTCTTTTTTCGCCCTTCTGTTTCTGTTTTTGCAAAATTTAAAATTTTACTGTTCTCGAAGAGAACTCGTAGAATTTTACCATTTCTTTTAATGTTGAACATTCTCACGAGTGCACCATCCGAAGGAAACGAACTCCCTCTATAACTGCGCAGTGGAACATGAGTAGAAGGCAGATTGAACCAATTGTTTGCCCGGTGGAAAAAAGCCCTCCTCCCGCATCGTGAGGAATATTCTTGTGTCCGCTAGGATATTCCTGTATCGATGTTGGGAACAGTCAGTCACATCCCCTCCATTTGAATAGCATCTTGGCAACAAATTTGCAGGCAAACAATTGAATCGATCTACATCTTGTGTTTCTTCTACTTTTCTTCGCCCAAAGGAGTTCGAAATGGCGATCGGACAGGATTGGTATTCGTTCGGAAGTTGCACTGGTGAGACATGTTGAATGCTGGTGCTAAAAAGGGGGCACGAAATAAGGTAAGTTTAGTATAGTAAATACGAAGGGAGAGTGAAATTTAACATTAAGATGGAGCCTATTGGTGTTTATTCCCAAATTTTAAGAGAACATCAGAAATGTTTAGAAAATTACTGAGGTCTTCACATAAGTTCAGAAGTTAAACATTTTTAGAACAGTGCAATAAAAATCGGGTTAGTACAATCAGCTTCATGAGAACTACAAAAAAAAAAAACTTTAGAGAAGTTTCGAGAACTTCCGGAAAGAACAGAAAACCTCAGAGCAGTTTCGTTAATATAGAAGAAATTACATTAATTTTAAAGAAGTTTCGAGAACCTCAGCGAATTGTTAAAACTTTAGATCGATAGGAAAATTGGGGAAACTTTAGGAAGTCCGAATGAATGAAGTTTCAAAATGTGATGAATATTGTGAGCATTAGGCTAGTATCTCAAACTACAAAATAACTTAAAGGCAGTTTCATTAATTTCAAGAACATGTTGGGAACTTTCAAGTACGGTAACTGGGGGTGACAATGGGCCAAAAAATAAAAAAAATTCGTTCCCTACCTTACTACATTCACATTTTAGCAAGGAAAACCATTTTAAGCATATGAATATATTCAGAAATGATATATTTAGGACTGTCATAGAAATGAGTGATATCTCATTTTACTAAAATTAAATTAAAAAATCTACCTTATGTGTATACATTGGGCCAAAACATAAATTTGTTTAAAATATCTTAAAATATGTAACGTAGCTATTAGAAGTACACTTGGTTATGATCACAATGTACTTCGTATGTATGGCTAAAGATCGCGTGTAACCCTCGTCTATCCACATAAAAGTGTGTTCAAACTTTTGTTTCCCTGCGAACATTTTTAAAAACGTGTTTTTGCTACTAATTATGACACTTTACAGCACTATAACTGTCTTTACCAAACTCCTCGGCATCCCTCCTCAACTGGGGAGTTTGGTAAAGAGAGATGATTAACCCGATTCGTACCTTCCTCAAAGTTGTCCTTGCTCGGTTATTACTCTCTATATACAATTTTCACACTGACACACTAACGGAACTATCAACAAACTCTATACTTTCATCTCTACATCTACTATAAAATACCACTTTAAGTCTGTTATTTGACGCTTACCATCTTCAACTATGTAAAATCGTTAACTTCACGCCTTAAGTAATACAAACATAAACAGTTAAAGTAAAATAACTGGTTAATGTTATCTACACATTACTCCAGGAGTTCAAGGGACATATTTTAGTCATAATTTTCTGTATATTCAAGATATTTGCTTCCATAATCATTTTTCTATTTTGGCCCGATTTCACCCCATATTACGGTAGTTCTGAAGACAGGTGGAATGCATTCTGATGTTGAAGAGTACCGCCTAGCTGTATCGGATTGTTGCTACGATATAATTGTCCTGTGCGAAACGTGGCTCGATTATCGAACACTTTCCAGTCAAGTCTTCGGTCCTAACTACGAGGTCTTTCGTTGCGATCGGAATCCTAACAACAGCCGTAAATCTACTGGTGGAGGTGTCCTTGTAGCTGTCCGTGGCGGGTTGGAGGCAAAGGCCATCGAGAACGATTCATGGAACTATGTGGAGCAGGTTTGGACAGCCATCAATGTGGGTGATCGCACACTATTCATTCCACCTGATCAAGTCCGCGACAATTAACTCATCGATACTCACTGTCGGTCAGTTTTCACAGTTATCGAAAGTGCCACTCCAGTTGATGAGATATTCATTTTTGGTGACTTCAATCTGCTAGGCGTTCCGTGGAGTCCATCTCATAGCGGATTCTTGTATCCAGATCCCGATAGCTCTACATTTCACGCAGGAGCTATTAGCCTTCTCGACAACTACAGCGCAGCGACGCTTTCTCAAATTAACCATGTAGTTAACGAAAATTATCGTAGTTTGGACCTCTGCTTCGTGAGCACACTGGACAGGGCTCCATTAATTTCCTCGGCTCCTTGTGCACTAACTAAGCTAGTTCCACATCACCCTCCTCTAATTGTCACTGTTAGCGTTAGCGTTAGCGTTGTTATGATATACTTCGTAGATTGGATACTAGCGACACTCACGTCTCTTCTGAAAATCTCAGTTAGACTACTTTCAGGAATAATGCTGAGGAGTAAACATTGGTTCCAATCTAAACAAGAGTAACAGAAGCATGACTGTCGCTATTCCCGGCCACGCCCATCTTTACCATAACTAGGGATAGGGAAGGAAATGTTGATGTAGTACTTATTTAACGAGAGGCCACCGACTTAGCGACACCCTCATAAGTGCTACGGAGTTGGAGGGTTGGGTAGGGTATTCGGTTAGGATTCACCTCAAGTTGGCGATGCAACCAAAAGTATGTATTGTTTATTTGTTGTTTATTTAATCTCTCGATAGCCGGCTATCGAAAGAACATATTAATTTTGTTTAGTGATAATGAATTTTAAGAGTCATTTCGGAGGGCTTGGGATGAAACCCATGATTTTCTGCTCAGTAAGCAAAAACGATCCCTCCAGGGTCATCGAGCATCTCAGAACCATAACGCTTCGCGACAATACAGGACTACGTTTTCGCTTGATATGCAAATAGTTTCCGAGGTTAATGTTCAGTATCAAATATACAAATGATGGTGGCGATTTATTGTGCTGTGGAAGAGCTTGGGGTTAAATCCATGATTTTCTGCTCAGTAAGTAAAATCGATCCCTCGAGGGTCATCGAGCATCTTATAATCCACAGCGCTTCGCGTCAAAGTACGAATATATGGATTCTATTATTGAATAACTATTATTTGCAATAATTACATGAAATAAATAAAATATAGCTTAGCTTAGCTTAGATTGACTGCACATATCAATGGTTGCTACTCCGCGATTGATCAGAATCAGTGAAATTGTACAATGAATCAATTGAATGGGGCTGGGAGTGACCGTCCATTCTCATTGTACAAGTTTCAGTGACTCTATATTTTGTAGATCAATAACGGCGCCGGCCACGTCCTTGCAATCAGGTGGGAGTAGGGAAGGAATATTAAAGTGACCTTTGTTGTTTGTGGGCCGTGTTTACCTCTGCACCCCAACAAAAGACACAGGAAAGGAGATTTTGATAGTAAGTTGGGTTCGTTGGATCAGGATTCACCTTGATAAGTGATGCGACCATGGTTTTAAATGAATCAGTGTTATCATGCATTATACTTGGATTTGCCCGAAGCCAAAACCAAATGGTGTATCATTGGGCCTTATTACGGGTGTCACTACACGGTGATAAGCAAGTGATACTCAGAATAAGAGCCGTGATTACCGTACAAATCAAATGGGAATCACTTCACCGTGACGACAAGTGACAACTTTTCACCGTGATGTGACACCCGTAATAAGCCCCATTATAATATAAATCTGAAGACGTTCCATCATTGAAATGCTGAAAATAAACTTAGAGCATGAGCATGAGCAAAATTGATCGCCCGCGACTGCCAACACCAAAGAGCTGAAAACCAATTCAAACAAATCAAATCAACAGACAAAACCAGGGTGAAAGCTGTAAGAGTGAATCATTACAGTATAAATCTAATGATGTTCCGTCATCAAAGAGCTGGAAGAAAACTCAAATAATTTAAATCAATAGATCCAGTCTGAATGAAGGCTGCAAAAAGAGAATAATTATACAGCAATGACCCCATTTTGTCAGCTAGCAAAGTTTGTGTACCTTAAACATTCATCTTGAAGGAGGAAGGTATGAAATTACAATTATGTGGAATTATTGAAAAATAACAGTCTGATGCGCGGAGAGGTTGACAAGATCGGGTCATAACTGTAATGTAAATATTAGACAGATTTATCATCATCAATTTATTCTTGAATTAACCTGGAAGAATGCTTGTGAATAATTGTTATACAGATAAATTAAATTGATAACTAAATGGTTCAAACAACAACTCCAGCCTGTAGAAAAGCTGACACTAGGGAATCTTTACAATGTGGATCCCCCACGGTCTTCTACTCAGTAAGCAAAAGCGGCAGCCACCAGGCTAGTCGAGCTGCTCAATTTAAATATTGGGACCTTATTTTGTGAAGTTCTTAAGAATACCGATTGAAACACAATGTGAAAAAATAAAAGTTAAGAGTCTCATCCGAATCAAACGATTCCAAACGATACGCATTCATAGAAATTAAGTTTAAATTGACAAAAGTAGAAAAAAGGAACAATCTCACCAAATCAGTCCAACTGAATCCCTTACAAGCAGCTATGTCGCGCTTGGTGTAGTAGCTCCGATCATAGACCCGTCCTACGGGGATCAATCCTCTGGTTGAATGTAGTCGATTGCTCCTAGTGCGCAGTTAACTTTTAATGTCCCCTCCTCTAATTGTCACTGTTGAGGACAAACTCGTGCGTGATTTCGACGACTATCCTGCTACGGTTTCTTATGACTTCCGTAAAGCTGACCACCGTAGCATCATAGATGTATTGTCTAGCATGGTATGGGAGAACATCCTTGATCCAGATGACGCAGTCACGCTTACCACTACACCACCGGCGCCGGCAGTTATCCCGTATGTGGCTTCCATTTTAACCCAGCAATTCTACCCATGATGGTTTTCGCACTTTCATTCCCGAAGGAAAACTTAACGGTGTTCTTAATATCAACCCTTGTTCCGTCTCCGCCGAAAGTGAACCAACCATCTTGACAATCGCCGCTGACGAACAGCGACAAACAACACTAACCAATCAGCGACGTCCATATCACCATGCGCAGACAGCGCGCTCCTATAAAAGTGGCACCCATTAGGCAAACTGACAATCAGTTACCTTTTGACCGGCCACGAGTAAGCATCAGCAAGCAGCAGAAGAAAGCAAACCTTTGTAAACAAAAGCAGTAGAGAAATAAAGTAGTTACTAGCGTAGCCGTTCGCCGTTTAAATAATTACCAAGCACACATCCCTGGTTCGGAGCAAGCGTTGAAACCCACCCCCAGCTCTTTTCAGAGCTCAAAGAGATTGATTTAGATCGACGCTTGCCTCCTCCACCAATCATTGCCGATACAGTCCACTGCCGAAAGGGAAAGTGCCTTCCCAGACCGAACAACCCTTTATTAGCAAATTATTTGCTTCCAAGGGCAACGAAAACTGCGATCGAGTTACAAGCAAATAAAAAAACAGCGCTCAGAACAATCACTTGATCGAGTGATTCAGGGATTTGAAAAGAGTCAATGTCGTTGGAAAACTATGAAACCTATAACCCCTATGAGACCTCAATATATGTAAATGCAACGCTAATTTCTATGTATAGATTTCTATTCCCTTGCTTAGATAAGGCATAGCAATTATTTTCTTTTCCCTCTCTCATTGCTCGATTACCTATTGCAGAAGCTTCATGGCCGAAATGACCATCTACGTCAAGCAGTTGCGCCGTAACGTCACCGGTCGTGAGTCCGGCTCGAACAAGCAATCGGCCAGCAAGTCTTGTGCCCTGTCTTTGATTCGTCAGATGTTCCACTTGGGTGTGATCGAGGCGTACAGCGGCAATCTGAAAACTGCAAAGTAAGTGGCTTTCTCTATTTTTTGTCTCTGGTTGATTCAATAATCCGTTTGTGTTGGTATTTTTAGGAGTCAAGAACAGCTGAAGCCATTCCCGGTGCGCATCTCGCAACAGTTGGAGCAACGCATTGAGCAGTGCCTGCAGGATGTCGAAATCCGTCCGGTTAACATCGAACAGAAGGGTGGCACTGGCGAACCGGTCAGTCTGCTGCATCCCTCGGATGATGTGCACTACAAGCCACAATCGGTGAATCTGACCCAACAGGCTTCGGTTATTCCGTGGTCCCCGCCGGTGCCGAACTGGAACCCATGGACTGCTTGCAACATCGACGAAGGTTACCTGGCCACTGCAACACTGGAGCAATTGAGTGAAGATCTGATGCAGGGTGCTCGAGAACGTGCTCAGCAGGATACTCAGCTGCAGGAGAGTATGCGAACTCGCCAGGAGCTACCGATTGCCAAAGTGAGGAATAAAATTATGGAGGCGATCAATGAAAATCCGGTGGTGTTGATCCGCGGTAATACCGGTTGCGGTAAGACGACGCAAATTGCGCAGTTCATCCTGGAGGATTACATCAACTCCGGACAGGGAGCGTACTGTAACGTTTGCGTGACTCAACCGAGAAGAATCAGTGCCGTTAGCGTGGCCGAACGTATCGCCAATGAACGATGTGAGAACTTGGGCGAGTCAGTTGGTTATTCGGTGCGATTTGAATCGGTTCTCCCGAGACCGTACGGTTCGATCATGTTCTGTACGATTGGTGTTCTGTTGAGAAAGCTAGAAGCTGGATTGCGGGGTGTGTCGCACGTTATCGTGGATGAGATTCACGAACGTGACGTCAATAGCGACTTTATTCTGGTCGTCTTGCGTGACATGTTACACACCTATCCGGATCTGAGGGTTATCCTCATGTCCGCTACGATCGACACGACGCTGTTTTCCGACTACTTTGGAAACTGTCCGTGCATTGAAGTCGTCGGAAGGACATTCCCAGTCGACCAACACTTCTTGGAAGATTGCATTGAGATGATGAACTTTGTTCCTCCGCTGGATAACAGGAAGCGCAAGCGTAATGGCGGAGGAGGAAAGGATGATGACGAGGAAGGAGGTGAGGACGCAACTCTCAAGCTCAGCGGTGAAGCGGATACGTCCAATCTGAACGCGGTGATCGATGAGCGGAAGTACAACATACAAACGAAGAACGCTATGGCTCGCTTGTCGGAATCGGAAGTTTCCTTCGAGCTGATTGAGAGCTTGTTGAATTTCATCGATTCTCAAAATGTACCCGGAGCTGTGCTGGTGTTCCTGCCGGGATGGAATTTGATCTTTGCGCTGATGAAGTATCTGCAAAGCAAGCCACAGTTCGGTGGTTCCAAGTGCATCATTTTGCCGCTGCATTCGCAGCTTCCCCGCGAGGACCAGCGGAAGGTGTTCGATCACTTTGGAAATACGCGAAAGGTTATCCTGGCAACGAACATCGCCGAAACGTCGATCACGATCGACGATGTTGTGTATGTGATCGATGTGTGCAAGGCCAGGATGAAGCTGTTCACGTCGCACAACAATATGACCAGTTATGCGACGGTTTGGGCCGCCAGGACGAACTTGGAGCAAAGTAAGTAGTGGCAGATTTGGCTGTTTTTTATGGTTATAGTACGTGGGCCTGGGTGATTTTTTTATCCTGGGGGTTTGAGGTTTCAATGTTAAAGTGTTAAAGATACTGGAATTACCATCTCTCTGAAGACTGGGACAGGACTTGGAGGTTTTAAAAGGAAAAGATAATTTAATTCATGGGAAACCACTGCAGAAGCTCTGGAGAGAAAGGGACTTAGAGGACATCACATTCAGTTCAGTTTAGAACAATCCCACAGGACTTTGATTAATTTAGGGACAGTTCAATCAGTGCATTTGATAACAGGTCTTCACGGGAAAGGTCTGGGATACACTCAGATCAGATCACTTAAATTACTAGTCCAGGGGATATCTGAAGCAGTTACTGCGAAATACAAACACTGCGCAGTGGTAAATCTAGAGCGGGTATAACTTTCAGAGTACCCGAGCTTCGTGTACAAGTTTCAGATGATTTTAAAGGAACAGAACCAATATTATCCGTGCGTGACGGGGTACCCGGGTATTCAGCTTCCATTGAGTAGTTCCACGCCAAATGAAGAATCGATCAGACTCGATCTTCTTCGGTTTGCATAATTGTTTGCTAAAATCCACTATACCCCACCTGACTACTATGGCCCTCCTCCCCCTACATTAAATGGACAGCTACTCACCGTCTTGCAACAATTTACTGATTGAAAGTTGTTGCATGTGGCATTCCGTCATCAGTTCTAAAACGTTGTGGATCTCTCGGCACAGCAATGTGAGTTCCCCTGCCGCTGGAAACTTTCTTATCTGTTCCCAGTGTACAAAAAAGGAGATAAACGGAATGTCATAAATTATCGTGGAATCACCTCCCTGTGTGCCTGCTCAAAACTGTTCGAGATTATCATAAATGGTGCTCTGTTCGCACGCTGCAAAAATTATATCGATACAGAACAACACGGTTTCTACCCGAAGCGCTCCGTGTCCACGAACCTGGTGCAGTTCACTTCTAACTGTCTGCGATGCATGGATTCAGGATGGCAAGTCGATGCTGCGTATATGGATCTAAAAGCTGCATTTGACACGGTGGACCATAATATCTTGCTGGTCAAGCTGGAGATACTTGGCATCTCGTCAACTGCTGTGGATTGGTTCAGATCTTACTTGATGAATCGCTATGTACATGTCAAGATTGGCGCGTCGGGATCGGATGTTTTCTCAAACAACTCGGGAGTTCCGCAAGGCAGTAACCTAGGACCGCTACTATTTTCGATCTTTTTAAACGACGTCGCCTTGCTGATACCATTAGGATGCCGCGTTTTCTATGCAGACGATACGAAAATCTACAAAATTATTAAAAGCCTCTCGGACTGCTGGGATCTCCAGAATATGTTAGGTATTTTTGCTGACTGGTGCTCAAGAAATTTGATAAGTCTAAGCATAGAAAAATGTTACATTATTTCCTATCATGGAAAAATCGAACCAATCATGTTCTCTACGGACGCTGTCTTGCTCGTGTAGAGCACATAAAGGATCTCGGCGTTACCTTGGACTGCAGACTCACTTTCAGAATCCACTACAATGACATCATCTCCAGAGCTAATCGACAATTGGGCTTTATTTTCAAAATTGCCGACGAGTTTCGTGACCCGCTATGCCTCAGGTACCTTTACTGCTCGCTTGTGCAATCCTTATTGGAGTCAAGTTCAGTTGTTTGGTGCCCTTTCCATGCTAGTTGGATCACTAGATTTGAATCCGTTCAACGCAAGTTTGTGAGATATGCTCTTCGTTTCCTCAACTGGCATGACCCAACGAACTTTCCACCGTACGAGGAGCGTTGCCGTCTCCTGGGAATCGAGCCATAGTGAGACGAACGGTCGCTCAAGCTATGTTCGCTGGAAAGCTGCTTACGGGTGACATTGACCGTCCAACACTACTGTCACAGCTAAATATGTATGCCCCTGAGAGATCTCTTCGTCAACGCGACTTTCTGTTTTTGGAATTACGGAGCCGGAATTATACATAACACGAGCCAATTCGAGCAATCAGCCGGCAATTCAACAACTTTTTTTATATGTTCGACTTCAATGTATCAGCTGACTTGTTTCGTCATCGGCTACTTGACCTTTTCCGTACCGTTGACCGTAACTATTTAGTTTAAGTTTTATTCATTTAGACAATAATTGTCAGGAATTTTTCAATAAACAATAAACAACAATAAAAATGTGTCGAACCGGATCGTCACCTATCCAGCAGACTACGTTGAATCCGGTTACGAAAGATTTCCGCTGTGCAGTTAAAGTCGAATACTACATAGAATTCATTGAAACGTGCAGACATGAACCGTATCATGTAATCCGTAATTAGTTGCTCGTGGTTCAGTACTTTGCTGCAAAAACGGCCCGGTTAATCTTCCGCCAACGTTCAAGATTTTCAATACCCAGGAGTTGGTAACGATATTCTTAGGGTGGAAGGTTCGTTGGATCCTTCCGAGGAAGGTGGCGAAGAGCGTAACGAACGAATTTCCTCTAAAAAAACTCGATCCTCGCTATCCAAACTGTTTCATACGGACACCATACACCAAATTCCAAGACCGATCGCACTATAGAATAGTATAGAACTGTCAGGCAGGCAGGATCCCGAAACTCCCATCAGAGAACTTAATAATTAATCCGATTTGCCTGTTAGCTTTGGCTATTATTTACGGATTTAGAAGGTTTTGACAGCAATTTGTTTTGAAAGTAGGATCAATTTTCTTTTCTCGTCTTCCATCTAGGGGAACGCTCCTATAGTTGCGGTATGTTATAAGTGTTAGGTTCATATAGTTGTGCATGGAGACTCAATACACAGCTATAGGAACCTAACGCTTCCAACGTACCGCAACTATAGGAGCATTTACCCTAGTACAACTTGTTTAATACTGTACGTATCGAGGGGAAACTTTCATCACTGAAACACGTGTACTTTCAAATTAAATCGCTGTCAAAACATTCTTAATCTGACCACTATAGGCGCTGTTATAGAATAAATAAAGTGTCCGGATTCTAAGAGGACCAGTGAACTCCTAAAAAATATGCTACACTTATTTTAAGGTTCTTGAACTTCTACGTTCCTTGAAATTAAATTATGTTTTCTCAACTTCCCGAAGCTTCTGTAAAGACAACATTTTATAAATCTGAACACTTCGGGGCCCTTCGCAAATATGAAAAGTAGCTATGTAGACATGTGAAGACATTTCGACCTTCTCCATGAAGATATTTTCTAAATACACCTAGAACTGTTGAAGAGATCGACTGGTCATTGCATCTTCTAGGTGTAGTTACTTGGTACTTGATGGTCTGTGATAGTTGCATCCAGGGGCGTCGCCCTAACCTCAATCTACCTGTTCAACAACTCTCAAAACGTGAACAAATAAAAAAATGCTTGCAATGGATACAAATCAGTGATCCTGTGCCTCTTGAAACTGATTTGAATGTAAATATGACCCTAAATAACGGTTTCAAAGCAGTTGAACAAGTAAAAAGTGAGGCCACTTGTTGAATCCATGCCGATCAGAGGGCAATTTTTCGCTTATCAAGTGTCAACAACTATAATATACAAACATTCATTCTTCGAGCGCTACACATAATCGTTAGCTTATCGTTTTAAGGCTGGTATACACCATAGCCTCCAGATGCCACTGATTGAAAACTCCAACAAATCCCCGGTTGTCCTTCCTTTAAAGTCTATGATTCATAGACGTAAAGGGCTATACTTTGAAGTTTTCTGGGTTTACCTTTGGGGTTAATAAGTGAAAATCTTTAGAGAGACCTTCAGTAGTCTCTTTTTAGAACATGTACTGAGAGTCACCTGGAACTAGTATGAAAATCCATACCCCTAAAGTTTGCATATGACCATTGAGGTTCACTGCCCTAGAGATTATCTGTACGGTAGGAATGAAACTCCGATCCGGACCCTGTAGCAAACACTATTATTTTCAATGGATGATTGTAACCGAATCAAAATTTCTCCAACAGGAAAGGGTCGTGCCGGTCGGGTCCGCCCCGGAAAGTGCTTCACACTGTGCTCCAGGGCCCGCTTCGAGAAGCTGGACGAACACATGACACCGGAAATGTTCCGCACTCCGCTGCACGAGCTGGCCCTCAGCATCAAGTTGCTCCGTCTGGGCTCGATTGGACAGTTCTTGTCCAAGGCCATTGAACCACCACCACTGGATGCCGTCATCGAGGCCGAGGTGATGCTGAAGGAGATGAAGTGTTTGGATGCTGCCGAAGAGCTGACTCCGTTCGGTCGCATCCTGGCTCGCTTGCCCATCGAACCGCGGCTGGGTAAGATGATGATTTTGAGTACCCTCTTCGGAGTGTGCGACCCGGTGGCAACGATGGCTGCATACTCCGGGACGTTTTCGGAAATTTTCCAACTGGACGTTGGACAGCGTCGCTTGATGACCCACCAGAAGGCGCTCAGTGGAAAGAGGAACTCGGATTACGTTGCGATGCTGACTGCTTACAGAGTGAGTTTTCTAATTTGACAGGTGTCGATAGAATTCTGTGTAACAAATATCCTATTCCCTATTTACAGATGTGGAACGAGAAGCGTCGGCGCAGCGAGGAAGCGGAAGTCCAGTTCTGCGAGTGGAAGGGACTCCAGATGTCGACACTCCGTGTCATGTCTGAAGCCAAGCGTCAATTGTTGGAACTGCTCTCGCAGGCCGGCTTCCCAGAAGAATCTATGATTGAAATGGGTTTCGACCCGAATGAGGACGACCCACGATTGGATATGGCCTTGTCTTTGTTGTGCATTGGTCTCTACCCGAACGTGTGCGTCCACAAGGAGAAACGTAAGGTGTTGACCACAGAATCGAAGGCTGCCCTGCTCCACAAAACTTCAGTCAATTGCAGCAATTTGCAGGTGACATTCCCCTATCCGATGTTCGTGTTTGGAGAGAAGATTCGTACCCGAGCCGTTTCGTGCAAGCAGATGTCGATGGTCTCCCCGATTCACTTACTGTTGTTCGGTAGCAAGAAGGTCGAATGGGTTGACAACATGGTCCGCCTCGACAATTGGATGAACTTCGAAATGGATCCCCATCAGGCGGCGCTGATTGTTACGCTCCGACCGGTGCTACAAGATCTGTTGATTCGCATTTCCGAAAGTCCCGAGGAAGTCAATCGGCTGGAAGAGCGCTACCAAAATTTGATCGATGTGGTTAAGGACCTGTGCGTGTTCGATGCCGGAGACTGCGATATCAAGCGAGAGACTGGTTTGACTCCGTTGGATCAGGCGCGTTCCAATTCGAATAAATTCCCACGCTCGGACAATGGTAACCGGTTCGGCGGCGGTGGTGGCGGTGGTTCCCGCTTCAACAACGGCGGTGGTGGATTTGGTGGAAATCGGGGAGGTTTCGGTGGAAACCGAGGTGGATTCGGTGGAAATCGAGGTGGAGGTGGATTCAGTGGAAACAGGGGAAGTTTCGGTGGTGGATATGGCGGTGGCCAAGGCGGACGACGTTGGTAAATTTTAAATAATTTCTTAATCGTTCAATGCTCTGCTATTCTGTTCCGTACGCCACATTGCAAACCAAGCATTTCCAAAGTTTAGCTCTTTCCTGCCCATGGTTGCCTAGATGATCCTCGCCAAGAGGGATTTTACGCAGTAACTTGGTAGTTCGGTTTTGGAAGTATGTTATGACAGAACGCTCTGAAAAGGAAAGAATTAACAAAACAAATTTTAATTCAACTGTGAAGTGATGCTTGGAACAGAAAAGCAAAGCTTGAATGACTTGATCTTGGATTGCATAATTGCGAAGAATTTCAAATAACTGTTTCTAATAATAGTGATGATAGTAGTAGTAGCGGATTCAGTATCGATTGGATAGTGAAAGTATCCATACTAGTTGTCGTAATTTATCTTACTTGGCGTTTGGACCTCTTCTGGACAGTGTGCCAGTTTGTGACACATTAGTTTTAAAGTAATAATAAATGGTACCTAACAAAATTGAATTGATTTTTCGAATGAAATCCTTACTGATGATCATGGCCGTAATAATGTCATATTCAGACTGGGGAGTTACAATTTGTTACAGACAATCTTGATGACATTTTTCATGACGATTATTATTATGTAAGTCGAGTCGAGAAGTTATACCAAATTAGACCAGTCAGTGACCATAAGTGACGCTCGATTTGACTTACATAATAGGGCCATATGACAATTATTACTAACGACTCTATAGCGAACTAGCCGGTTGTGCTACATTACCCCAAATGCCGTTGCCCTTAATACCCCTACCTCCGAACCCTAACACCACTAAATTGAACACTTGCAATCATATGGATGGGCGTAAGCGATCGTTTAAAACATGAAAATATCATCCTAGAATGCAGAATTCAACACATTTACTGCTCATAAAATTCTTGTTCCGGCCCACCTGCGGCCCCCTGCGGGCCTTATTACGGGTGTCACTAAACGGTGATAAGGAAGTGATATTCGGAATAAGAGCCGTGATTGCCGTACAAATCAAATGGGATTCACTTCACCGTGACAAGTTTTCACCGTGAAGTGACATCCGTAATAAGCCCCGCAGTCGTGATGGACTCCCTGGCCAACGAAGGGGTGAAAGCCGCAACAACTGACGATATCCGCCTCCTTTACGACGCCTGAGTGGAGCACGGATGAATCAGTGAAAGACTTGGGGCCTTCCCAACAAACAATTTTAGCTGCAGATTAGCTTATACAGCCAAAATTTGCCTTATGTAACAAATTTTTGCCTGTATAAGCTAAGCTGCAGCAAAAATTGTTTGTTGGGTTATTACCGATGTCACTTCACGGTGAAAACGAAGTGAAGTGACCAGTTGTCACTCACGGTGAAGTGATTACCGTGTAAATCAAATGGAAATCACTTCACCGTGAGTGATAAGTTATCACTTCACCGTGAAGTTACATCGGTAATAAGGGCCTTGACAGCTATTTACCGACCTTATTGACCAGCAGAAACGTTATATTAAGCACTTCGAACAAGGTCTTCAAGTTTTGATGGCTAACCAGCCACTAACATATTGGCATGATCTGTCATTCGCGTCAACTCCGAGCATCACTGCAGGAGATCGAAGCAGCTATCCGAAGCAGAGATGCTCAAAACTGACGCCATCCTAGCCGCAAAAATGTTGCAACAACTATTCTGTAATATCTGGGACGCCGCGACTGTTCCGGCTGACTGGATGCATGGCGTCTTAGTGAAGGTCATTAATGTTATATCTGGATCTCTCGCGTAACATTAAATGAAAGGATCTATCAACTTTTATAAACAAAACTTGTTAGGCCTTCGCGCGACCCGAAGTACGCCCACGCAAACCAACACCATCGGGTAGGACCAATTCTCATTTTCCCGATAGTGCTCTGGGTTTGCGTGGACATATTTCGGTTCTCGCTAACAAGCTTTGTTTTCCTAATATTTTAGATTTAAACCACCAGCTATCATTTGAATCAGAAGATTTGGCACTGCGTGGTTTGATTGTTTCTCCCGGACCAAAAATTTGTGGCATCGCGAGTGAAAATTTTAATTTCTGTTTACGCGGTGATGAGCACGGCGCTGATCTATTGTTAGGGTTTTGCGATGTGCATTGCTTTGTACACGGAGTGTCTAGAAAAAGAAAAGTGAAGAAAAGTGATATTTGGTTGTTGTGTGGTTGGAGTGGAGAGAAAAATATGCGTGGAAGCATCGGGAATGCACTCCCGGGTGAAGTGATTTGGTGAGTACGTTCCAGTTGAAGATTGTTGACAAGTGTATTTGTGGTGATGCAAATTACGGTTTAGATGACGCATGGCTTCAAACATTTTGTGTATGCAAATAAAACATATTACATACTAAATACGCACAGGGCATCGTCTGCTGACCGCGGGTATATCGTGGGAGTCCCAGGTACCAGGTTCAAGCTTTAGTTGGCGGCGGTGGCTCTTCTTGACCTTCTACCCTCTGAGTAGTTAGTGTGAATAAGGGTGCTATGTGATGTTTTGCTGTACCTGTTGTGGACATCTAGTGCATCCTGTTCCCTTAACTTGTTGAGGACACCCTCCCCCCTATTCTGCGAGTCACGTGACTCTCTCTCACCGGTGAGGTGACAATAGTCACCTCGTGTGAGGTGACTCTCCATTTGATTTACATGGAGAGTCACCTCACACGAGGTGACAATTGTCACCTCACCGGTGACAGAGAGTCACGTGACTCGCAGAATAAGGGGGCCTGTCTTGCCTCAAAAGTTACCCTTTTTGAAGTACTAGTTTTCACAACATAAAGGGCACCATTACGGAGCATGAGATTTGATCAAATTATTCGCAATTCTACTTGTCCAACGCCCCCGGCTGGGTGAGGGATAGAGGATGACACACACACACACAAAACACCAGCTATCATATGACTCCGTATCGTCTCACGGCTAGACCTCGAATGACCTTTATTTGATCAGATTTTAACAGCTCGTTATCATTTTACAGAACGCATATTCATTTGCTAGTTCATTTTTCTTCTCGTCTAATTACGTACATATCAGTTCTTCCGTTTGTTTACTTCAGATATTGTATTAATTACGACAGTGAGCATTAGACTGATGCAAATTTGGAAGTTTTTGCTCCACAAGTCTTAAACGATCCCATATTGGGTCCTAATCATCTAGCCAAAATTTGAGCCCATTTGGTTACAACCTGACTTCGCACAAACCTTTTGAAATTCATATGGGAATTACTATGGGAAAATCAAGTTTTTCGTTGGTATCATTCTAAACATCCTGCATGGCGGTTTGAGGACATATTTGTTATTTGCACTTATAGAAAATTTTGTCAGCTACAACTTTGTGGTGGACCGAAATTTTGTACGACTTATAGAAAAAATGTTATTCAATAAAACTTAAAGACATAACTTTTCCACTCATGATTTATTAGTTTATCTGCCAACACTGGTATGAGGAAATTATCCCTACACGCTAACTTGAAAGTACCCATAAATGGTTGAAAAAGACCCATTTTGAAGAAAAGTGGCTTAACTCATTAAATGAGTAAATTTTTTACCCATTAATGAGTATCTGTTACCCATTAATGAGTAATTGTTAATCATTAATGGGTAACAGATACTCATTAATGGGTAAAATTGTTTAATCATTAATGAGTTAAGCCACTTTTCTTCAAAATGGGTCTTTTTTTACTCATTAATGAGTACTTTCAAGTTAGAGTGTAGTAAGCCAAGCCAATGTATTTGTTTTCAATATGTCAATCACGTAAGAAACCGCATCATGAGTACAGAAAAGGTGTTGCGTTCTAACTTGAATGTGTTCCTCGTGGGACCGGTGAAAGCAGACTTTGTTTTGCAGAAGATTCCGACCAATAGAGATACATTGCAGGTGTTTTTCTTTTTCCGACTTGTTGACAAGATTTCCATAAATGAAAGTCTCACAGCAACGACCAAAAAAGTCGGAAACCTGCTAGTGGATAACCTGAAGCGAAGTGATGCAATTAAAAAGGAGATTAATCGGCTTTTTGAGGCCTGGCGATGTATGTAGTTGCATATAAGTATTGTGAAATATATTATATAATAAATAATTTATTTGCAGATCTACAATCAATTAAAAAACGGAATAATCAGAGTGACATCTACCGGCGGCAGCAATTCATTCGTAAATTATCGGAACAATTTAACTGTTTATTGATTCCTCAAGCAGAGATGGTATTTTAATCATTCTTACCGTTAAACTAAATTGGCAGTACATAATGTTCTGACAGAAAAATACATTTATTAACTTTAGGGTATTCATGATGCAAACATCAGCGGTAAAACGGAAGATATACTGTTCCATAATCTTACATCGGAACCGGGTTCATCACATGGCAATGAAGACAGGTCTCGTAAAAAAATCAAACTATTGACGTCTACCGTGACTGCTACTTTAGACAGCATTGGCATGACGGATAGAAGCGCAGGAATGCTATTGGATGCGCTTATCAAGGATAAACTTATCGACTCTTCCAAAAACAATTATGCAGTAAACTACAGCTCGATCAGACGCCATCGTATGAAACACCGTGAGAAGCTGACCGAAGAGGTAGGTTAACTTCTGATATGATTCTATTTGCACGTTATTATACCAATTATCATTTATCATTGACATGTCAGATTCGAGCCCATTTCAAACCGAACGTTCCACTTACCGTTCATTGGGATGGTAAGCTTCTGCCGGACATAAACGGGAAGAAAGTAGATCGCCTACCAATATTGGTAACTGGTGAAAACGTGTCCAAGTTGTTGGCCGTCCCAGCCCTTTCGAAAGGGACAGCGATTATCGAGGCAACGACAATAAAAGATGTCATCGAAGATTGGGGTATAGTTGAGCGAGTTTCAGCTATGTGCTTTGATACCACTGCGGTAAACTCGCGACACAACGTAGGTGTGATAAACCAGCTACCCGAGCTACTAAGCAAAAACATGCTGGCACTGGCCTGTCGACACCATGTGGCCGAAATTGTTCTTAAGCATATATTTGAACTTCACGGGGATGACTCAAAATCCAGTAATTTCGACAATCTCAAAGAATTCCAAAAAAGCCTGAACGATAGCTCGATTGAAACTAGAAATACAGAACTATAGAAAAATATCCTGCGATGAAGCGTCTTGCCGCTCCTTGGAAAAATTCAATAGTTGATTTCTGTGTAGAAAAATTAACCGAACAGCAACCTCGAGGCGATTATGAGGAACTTTTGGAGCTGGTAATCATGTTTCTCGGTGAAATCCCTCCGAAAGGAGCTCGTTTCCGGAAGGCTGGAGCTATAAACCGAGCAAGATGGATGGCTCGTGCAATTTATGTACTGAAAATATGGATGCTTGCTGATCAACTCGACATTGATTCAGTACTCATGCGGCATTACAAAACATTGTATATTTTTATTGCACAATGTTATGTAATGTATTGGTATCGGCTGACAAATGCTGCTATTGCTCCCAGGGTGGATCT